GAGAGAGAGAGAGAGAGAGAGAGAGAGAGAGAGAGATTGTATAGTTTGTAGAATCAAAGAATGTTACTTTATTAGTTTACTATTATTATATGTATTTTACTCCTACACTTTAAGAACATTTATACATTTTGTAAGAATGAGAATTCTCAATCGACTAAAATTTATTCAAACTTTTAAGATTCGTCAAATTGGTCTTAGACTTTTACATATAACTTTAGCCTATGTAAAAACTGTATAACACTGTTACTTTTAAAGTAATCTTTTTTTTTCTTTTTTTTTCCCTTTTTTTTTATAAAATTAACTAAAAACAATACAACAATAGTAAATAGTATCATTTTTCTTTTTATGTGACGCATCGTTTTTTAATTCAAACTATTTTTATAGAAAAATGACATGTCATATATAATCATTTTAAATTCATTTTGTATATTATTATTTATTTTAAATTGAAAATATTAAAAAACGAAAAATATAAAAAATAATATTCGTAATTTTATTGTTCTAATCAATATTATTTTCGTTATTATAAAATGCCCGTTTAATAGTATAGAATAGTAAAGTGACTTTGTATTACATTTCTATTTACCGTGCGCATGAACAAGAATTTTAAATAAAATGAATCACGATGTCGTCGAAGCCACTGAAAGTATTTATAATAGACATAAAGACCATTAGATATAGACTCTGGTGTAAAGTGAAGTCACTTTTCGATTTTAAAAGAAAAAGAAACTTTATAGATATCTCCATCCTAAGAATTAATTTGAGAAAATCGATCTTATCAAATTAACAAAAATTTCCCACACAGGCAAGCGCGTGCACGCAAGTGTGTGTCTATCTCTCTATGTATATATATATATATATATATAGTGCGTAATTATGTGCGTGCATATGCACACGCTTACGCACACTCCATAGTCAATTTCAAAATACACGATTTATTCAAAAAGAAAATGCGTGCTCTCAATTTTTGATGCTCGTGAGTGAGACAGAGAGGCAGATGAAATGCGCGGAATTCGCGTGCCCTCCGGTGCAATTTTATTGATTGGAGGAAGGAGTAAAAGCTGCGAACGAGTCGTTACCGGGCGTATAGCCCGCGCAATAGAGAGAGGGAGTTAGAGAAGGCGCGTGACGTCATCACGTATCACGCCACATCCCCACTTATCTAAAGTCGGCCTGCAATTGGTCCGGCGCGAACACGCCGTGAATAAGGCGGCAGTGTGAATCCAAAAAGTCGGATACTGGTATCCGCGATTGCGCGACACGATCGGGAAATGTTCACCTCAGTTTAAAGTTGCGTCACCGCTTCTTGTTTTTCCTTTGCACTGTTGTGACTAAATGAGCGAAAATTGAAAAGCGACGCCGAAAATCTCATCTCTTCTCGGCTGACAAATAATATTGCGGATAACGGGACGAGGATAACGATTACTCCGAGATAAAAATTCAATGAAATCTTTTTGATGGCCTCACGGTGTTAGCGAGATAGTGGATAAAGCCGGGAGAGAGGGAGCACTTTCTTCGCTCGATTATTTTCTCCTACTTTAACCAGCGTACTTTCCCCAAGACGCTGACAATGTCTTAGCAATCGATAAAGATTGACGACTTCCTTAAAAAAAAAAAAAAATCGCATTTATAGACACGCGTGTCAATAACGGAAGAGCTTCTTGGCTATCATTGCCACGTATTATCAACGGTAATCAAACCCATTAATGAGAAAATGGAAATTTTTAATAAATTTATGCGTTAACGATTAATGAAAAATGGCGACAATCAAAGTAATTGCCGTAGTGTAATTAAAGCTGCTTTATGCTGTCTCATGAAAGAAAGTGCGATAAGATATTTGTTTCAGATATCGCACGCATTGAAATAGCTTCTTATTGTAATATTTTATTGCTCATAGTGTTTTCCGTCCGAGTCTAATGATGGTTGAATAACAACCATGTCAAATATAAGTTTCTTGTTATTTTGATTATCCAATAAATTTAAGGCACGGTAAGTTCGAGCGATATCATTAACGACTAGAAAATTGTTTGGCAAATGATGATAATGCACGTGAATAACTTTGCTAATAAAAATTCTAGTCATCGGTCCTTACGCAACGCAAAAATGAAGAATGGCTTCTCCTTTTTCGTTTTCGTGAATTTCTTCTTCTCATTCAAATTATATAAATTAATTATTCTAATAATTGTTTTGTCATTCGGTTATTTAAAATTCGTGAGTTATTAAAACATCGCTCATTCTACTTCGGTTGTTGAAATAATTTTTTTATAGATAAGAGGAGGCCAATTTCTAAGCAATACCTAAAATGTGTATAATAATGAGCCATTTATAAACAATTCTCGATGAATTCGACAATAATCACTATGAAATTTTGCTTTTTATTTGTATTTGAAAGCTCGCTAAACGATGGCTAATGAAATTATTATCATCATCATCATCATCATCATCATCATCATCATCATTATTATTATTCTTTTTTTAATCCAGTTATAATGTAATAGGCTCGCGAAGAAAATGACGACGATGATCGCGTGTATGCTTTGATTTACAGTCCCAAAGCTCTTGTATCGCTTATGTTGACAAACGCATGTCCGTCCCTATCAGGCCTCAATATAAAAAAAGGAAAAAAGAAAAAAGAAAGGAATAAATTTTGACGTCCAGGCTATTGTCTGCCTCATCCCCCCCCCCGTCCCCGCCCCCTTCTATATGCTTTCATCGTATGATGTCATTGTTCTTAAAGAAATAAGTTGCGCTTCATTTCATTCGTACAATATGGGATTTAATAAATATATAATTTTACGTCGTTATAGTCGTGTTTCACGTTTTCGTACGATTCGAAATTAGTGCGTCATTATTTCAAGAAGGTTGTTGAGACGGTAAAACGACGTAATAAAGAGCTGTTATTGAAGTATACTTCTAACTGACGTAGAGTCATCGCTAAATGTCCAAGGAACAAATCTTTTATCCTCGTAATTGGATTTCCCTTTTATTTTATATTTTAGCCAAAGCGACGCCTAACGACATTATCCACTATTTTTCTATCTCGTTTCATATTATTTTTTTTTCTCCTGCCAAGTCATGTCAAGCACACGCAACTACATAAAATACACGAACTTTGTAAATTAATCGTAGAAAGTCGATTCAAATGTAAAAACGACGCAAAGCTATATAGCGTGAATAACATTTCTTTTTACGTTTTTCTGATCTACGCCAAAACTACATGTTCATACATGCGTGCGCGCGCGTGTGCGCGTATATATATATATATATATATATATATATGCACATAATTATATTTACAGTAAATTTTTATCTGTAATTATTTGTACAACAGTTGCGAGTTTTATAATAGTTGAAGAAAGAAAGAAAGCGTGCAATAACCTTGGAAATAGTTTTCTTAAGAAATGCAAATTATCCATAAGCAAATGCACTGTTAAACGTTTTTATTCTAGTGCAATTTTATCGTTTACTTATACGGAAAATGAAATAAATTAATAAACAAACAACGACAACGATAACAAAATATTTATTTGTTGTATCTACTCGTCGAGGAGTTAGCTACGAAAGAGAATAAAAGAAGTAACAACAGTACGCGTACACAGTACATTTATCACTCTCTTATTTTCATAATAATCCACGATGATGTTCAATCATTTAATTGTAGCATAATCATGCGATTAGCGTTATTTCATGTAGGTACAATTTTTTAATTTAGCGGCGTTCAATGGCTTGTTTTGTTTCATACGTGGACTGTTGCGTAATTTATTCACTTTACACGGGTGCGTTGATTGCTACAGGAATAGAGCAATGCATATCCTAACTACTATGTCGGACTAATTTGATTGATCATCAATGTTTGCAAGTGTGTTGAAGCAACCATCGGCGAGAGCAACCTGTAAATCGGGAACAAACGACTCACAGCACGACATTACGATATACCTCCATCATACATGATTTTTTAATTGATACAGTATGTCGCCGAGCGCGACTTTCTACTAACCACTAAGGATGTGCTCGTAACGGCAAATACAGGGGCATGAACTACGTAGCAGTAAATGAGGACAACACAAACATAGCGACAGCGAGAAAGATTGGAAAGGAGCATCAAACGTCAAATTCTTCACCGGCGTACTTGTGGCGGCACCTTTGCTCTATCTCTCCCACCCATATCGTCCCATCCCCCTATCCCCACCACTGCTTCACCACCATCCCCTTGTCATCCCTCTATCCTCATCACGCCACCTTGCAAACGCACCACTGTCCCGCCCGCTCCGACAAATTTGCTCATCCCGTCAAACAATACGAGCATGTTTATCGTGCTCTCGTCATCGGTGCATATTGAACGTCGTCCTGACGTATCTTTGACGACCCTTCATTCGTCCTGCCGCCCTCCTCACACCTCGTAAAATTCCGATTTCTAATAGCGGAGGAGAAAGTCCGTGGGTACCCTCGTGCCCGGGGTGGTGGCTGCTCGCCTCTAATCTCCGCAACTAATGAAAGACACGAATGGGGAGCGGTGTGGGCGATCGCCCGACTCATCTCGGAGGCGCTTTTCGCGAGTGGCGTGAATGCGTGGGCGAGGGCTTGCGCAACGGGAGGAGAAGGGACGTCGGACACGAGGACGCGCGCCTCCGCGACGACTGCGGCGGGGCTGTCTGACTGAGCGAGCGAGAATGAGAGAGCGAATGAGAGTGAGTGAGTGAGTGAGTGAGTGAGTGAGTGAGTGAGTGAGTGAGAGAGAGAGAGACAACGAAGCAGAGCTAAGAGCAGCTGCCTCGGGGCCGCGGCTCAGTTGCATTCGCGCTGCAGCTGCGAGTGTCGCGTTTTTTCGTTGGTGAGTCTCGGTGACCCCCCCTCCCTCCATCCCTCTTTATCGTATCATATCCAGAGGAGGTCGTCGATGATGAGCGCGGCAGGCGACAGGACCGAGGTGTGCTAAGAGCCCGCGGCATAACACCTCCGCCTTCTTCTCCAGCGACGGAGATAGATACACATCTCGAGAGGTAAACACAACGGCGCGCTGTTACACGTGCCACACATCCCTACTCTTCGGCGTCTCGTCTTTTCTCTCGCTCCCACACACACACACACACACACACACACACTCTCTCTCTCTCTCTCTCTCTCTTTCTCTCTTTGTTTCTCTTACCGTCGGGGCCTTTTGTGCGTGTTGAGATCTACGTCGCGGCATGCGCGCGTCACCCTGCTCGGCATTGGGAAAGGGGGGGGGGCAGGAGTTTACAAACGACAGACTCCAAAGTATCCGTCCGTTTTGTTTACATTCGGTGTCCGATGTTTTTAACGGACTTTTATTCGCTTTCCTATCTCTACCTGTGCAAGGGATGGGGTAGGGGGGATAGACAAGAGAGAGAAAGAATTTTTGCTGGTATGCGCATGTTTGCAATACATGGAAGAAGACGGGGCCTAGATTCGGCGTAGCTTAAGGAATGATGACAAAACGTAACGATCGTCCATCCATCCATCCATCCATCCATCCATCTATCTATCTATTCTTCTCTCTCTCTCTCTCTCTCTCTCTTAACGACGCACAACAACACGTAAGGCGGCTCCTCTCTACCTTTTTTTATCGGGCGCTTGTCATTCTGTGCTCGTTGGGCCACGTGGTGCGTTATTTTTACAAAGCCTCGTCAGTAGTAGCGACAATGCACTTTGCCAACGTAAATAGGTTTCGGCATTTCGTTGCGAATGGTTTTGGAGCGTGAGATTAGAGAGCATAATAGTTGGCTCAAGGTCTGGGGAATCGCTTGGACTATTTTCATTTTGTCATCCCGACACTTACGCGGCCATATATTGGAAAACGTCGATTTATTTTAACGAAGAATTATAATAACAATGCCCCCGAGCACTGGGGGACGTCGTGTATCGCTCGGCCTTCTCGCGTAATTCGACTTTGTGATGGTTTTTACGAAAACAAAGGCTGCTGTTGCTGTTGTTGTTGTTGTTGTTGTTGTTGTTGTTGTTGTTGTTGCTGCTGCTGCTGCTAGTTTATACAATTCGACGTTAAAATATTCAGCATTCGTGTGCTTTCGCGTACTCGATAATTTAAGATAAGAAGACTATTGAAATCCAGGAACTTTATATATTGTAATAATGTTTCGTTTGCGCCTCGGGGAGCTCTTTATGAAAGAGACAAAGTACAGATGACCGTTGGGAGCAAAATTGAAGCTTTCAGCGCCGTATTAAGGCTTGATTACTCAGTCGTTGCAAATGGTATGATTGACAGTAAGTTTTGGAAATGAGCGAGTGAAATGTTGAGATATCATCGCCTTGACTAAGTCACGACGAAGAACGACATTTATTCGCACTATACGAATTATCAGCGACTCGCTCATTCCGCCTCGTTCGACAGTTACGCCTTTGATTAATTATATAAAGTGCAAATTGCATAATACACGTAATTACGACATACTTGGAAATTGTCTTACGATCATTGTTTGAGAAAAATAAGACAGCGATAGTCATAATAATAATAATAATGATGATAATGATGATGATGATGATGATGATGATGATAGCATTGTAGGAGCTCGTAAGTCTCGTAATTTGCGCGACCAATTGTATCAGGTGCATTGTAAATTACCATCGATAACAATTGCCACGGCCAATTCAACTCTTAAAAATTTCTCCCGTGACGTTTAAACGATATTTCCCTTTTATAAAGATCCACCTAGTGTCTAACGACTGCATATATTAACTTTTACGTTTGAATTACGCATTAATGTTTCATAGTTGTGATGATGATGATGATGATTATTATTATGATTATTATGATTATGATGATGATGATGATGATGACGACGATGACGATAACGATGACGATGACAACGACGACGACGATGATGCATAAGAAAGTAAAGACAAGATACGCAGTAGTTTATTTAAAAAAGAAAAAGAAAAAAAAAGATAATAGGATGAAAGTAAGATTTATTGATATTGGTAATCCTTACCGAGATATTCCCGTAATAGATTCTCGTCAAATATCCCCGATAAAATTCGTTTGACAATGACAATCCCGATACAGCATCTTAAGTAGTATATAAATAGAATATGAAGATTAGATTTAGATCAATGTCCTCGAGGCGACATTTTACAACTTTCTCGGATATTCCAATTGTTCGAGTCGCTCGATACATTTTCAAACGTTAGAACCAATCCTATTCACTCTACGCATACACACGCAAGTGCGAATGCATGTACATGAAGGGAGGCAAAAGCTTTGTAACGTTCTTTATTAAATGTTGAACGCTGTGACTCCGACGGGGTGGGGAGAATCGTTGAATTGTCCTAAAATTCATGGCGTTGGAGGCAAGGCTGTTTTAATTAAATCTTATTACATTATCGTTATATTGAAATGACCGGAGTACGTGATATTAGCACGATCGGCGTGCTTTGGCGGCTGAGCTGCGATAATTTCTAGGCTTTGCAAACGTGTAAATAGTGCGAAAGTAGATCGATGCCGGTTGTGAAAAGTGTCTGGAAATCGTCGACGACGAGTGCTCACCGAGACCGCGAAAGGTCCTAATTATCGGCCCCGCGAGTCGACATTACACACACGGTAATTGAGCAGCGCCGTCATCAAGTTTGCTGACTACTACTACTACTAGCCGACGCAGCTGCGCGGTCAGCAGCGCCAGCAGCCGAACCCCGTCGCGGCCGCCCTCGCCACGGCCATCGACCAGATGTGCGAGGTGCAGACGAGTCAGGATCACCGGTTCCTGCGCGCCCCGGATGAGCCTTGAGTCCCGGGTGCGTCGGCCAGGCGCTTCTAATGCCGGGCAGTTGGTGAACGTCAGGATAATACTCGAGAGCTGAAGTGCGCGGGGTCTCTCATCTGCTTCTTTAGGTTTTCTTCCTCCTCCTCCTCCTCCTCCTCCTCCTCCTCCTCCTCCTTCTCTTCCTCTTTCACGTATAAGCGCAGCATCATCATCTTTTAAAATCGCCTCCTAATCTCATCACTCAATAATCGCATTATTCCCGTGCACGCCACGATTCACATTGATACTATCTCTCTCGGTCGATCGCGCCCTATATAGAGGCAGCGGCAGCGGCAGCGGGAAACCAGCGGTCGACTCTCGGGGAAGTCACAGGAGAGCCTCTCGCTCGGGCTTGGCATCTTCGTGACGCGCGCGCCTTGCATGGTTAGGTTAGGTTTGCCTCTTTTCTCGCGAGCGGCGCGAACGGGTCCCCCGAGAGCAACCGGACTAGTCGTCTACGGGAACGAGAAATATGCAAAGCTAACCTCGCACGTCGCGTCAGCGATATACTAGCCTAGTAAGTGTTTTTGCGCGAAAGTGCGCGGGGCCGCGGCCACTACGTCGACAGCGGGGCCAGGGGCTTAAATGCATATAGACTGAGAGACACAGAGAGACAGAGAGAGAGACAGACTCAGAGACACAGAGAGACAGAGAGACAGAGAGAGAGAGAGAGGGGGCAGAGGTTTGCGCGCTTGGATACTCGAATAAAAGTCGAGAGTGTCGGTCGGGTCTCAGCGGGGAGGTTGAGGAAAATAGGCCTCGTATCTGATTTATTGTGCCAAGGTGCGGAGGACGCAAATTTCCGAAGATTTCAAATGAATGAACTCTTAAGTAAATCAGCCGTAAATATCGCGGATAACGAAGGTATGGTTAATGCTGTCATAAATTCGTGTGAGCGCGTTCATATACACGCTTAAGCGCTTAGGCGTGCACCGTGAATATACGCGCGTGCGCGTAAATATGCACATATGCGTATGGAGTTTATATTTATGAAGTCGGCAACGATAGGATGAGCAGGCAACCATGGCAAAGCGTCATTTCGTTTCATTAATCTAACCTCTAAATCAACGCGCCATAATAAAAAAGTGTATTGCCGTTTTTACCGACCATCTCGTATTATTTAGCGCGACCTCGTTGTGTTTTTCTCGATATCCTAGCCGTATACATTGATTTGTGGCAAAAGCCGAGTTAGAGAAATAATCAGTGTGCGCGCTTACAGGGAGTGTGTGCCGCGATTAAAGAGCCCATGCGCGTCCTGACGGAGCAACCTTGGAGAGCAACGTTACTCTCGACGTTGCGTTCGTCGTGTTTTAAACCTTCAAGTTTACTAATACCAAGGGCCGTCTCGATAAACGTCAGCCTGTCATTCGATAACCCGTGCATCCTCGTAATGGGACAATTAGAGGGTTAAAGGGAAGTAAATGGGACAATGTTTGTTGAATGCGATCGTTGCGCTGGCAGGCAATTCCTGTTGGCAAGAGACTGAATAAATTAAAAGGATTTTGGATGAAATGGGTGATAAATCACACGCTGTTGCGCTAAAATCGAGACGATATTGGTCAATTAATCGTAGCGCCAAGCGCTCGTAAAGGCGATGACGACGAGCGAGCGAAGATTTCCGCAAGCCGACGAGCACAATGCAGCCAAAAAACGAGAGCGCGAGAGAGGAGATAGAGATAGATCGACGGAGGTAGATTGTGATAGCGCGTTGTGTTGATGGATGTGCGGCGGGTGGTGGCAGAGGTGGTGGCAGAGGTGGTGGCAGAGGTGGTGGTAGTGATGGTAGTGGCGGTGGTGGCGGCGGTGGCGCCGGTGTGGAGTGGGGTGGGATGGCGGTCGGTTGGAAAGAGACGTAGGAGGAAGAGC